CACGCTGACCTCGGGACTCCAGGGAAACACGGTGGCTAAACCAGTGAAACTCCGAGAAATGAAGACTACGCTGGTGCTCGCGATAAGCAGTGAGGGCAGGCCGTCCAAGTATCCAAGTAAGTAATTCAGTAAGTAAGCATGGTAATGAGGCAAATATTACTATTTTGCTAAGATTTTGGAAAATATTTGAACTGTTAGGAAGCCATTACTGAATGTACTGGAACATCTGCAACAGACAATACTTTAGCACAACCAAAATGAGGACTGATGGTAATTTCTCAATAATCAGTGTAGTTGAATTGAGAACATCACAGACTTACAGAAGAGACTTTGTTCTATAGAGCTTAGACTCTAAGACTCTAGACCGTCCCAAGAGTGTAAAACCAGAATTTTAAAAAGTTGAAAAAGAAATTTAAGTATTTAAAAATTCCAACGCTATCGTGACATTCGATGATACATCTGCATTATCGCATCCAAAGCATATTGGATTCCAGGAAAACGGAATTTAATCCCCGTAGAATAAGAAAAGTGACATCTTGTTGGCAAAGTTCGCAGATTCTTATGGTTTACATCCCAATTAACGGCTTTATGAGCTAAGATGTAACGATCTAAAGTTGAAAACAGCCATTATTTTCGCAACACATGCATTACAATGTGTTAACGAATGTAAAGAGAAAATGTGCATGAAGAAAGAAAGAAGTCAATGAAAATGGAACAACCTGTTGTATCTCACAAAGTCTTTCCAACTCAAGAATTCGATTATCACTTCGTCGTAACTGCTTTTCCAGCATCGTCACCGTGTTTTCCAGTAGACGATATCCTTCATCAAACGATCGTGTCGAATCACTGCTAAAGTTTAAACAGTCACAAAAAATTGGATAACTCGCCCAACAATATCGTTTCCTCGTTCGCCAGTCGGTTGGAGGAAAGTGAAATATTCGTCCTTTTTTAGATCCACAGATTTAATCGACTGGTTCTCGTACACAATTATAACTCAAAAAACCGATTTCCTATAAACCTCGGCGTAAATAATCGATACAGGTATATACATTCTTGCGAACAGCCCTTTTTGAGCCGATGCGAGTTTGGTACAAGTTGTTGTTCTTGTTGTTTGTCGTTGTTCGACGGCTGCCGTTTCGGCGACTTAACCTTCCTCAGAGCATGCACACCTCTTGTATAACAATATCCTTATAATTGGTTGAAATATCTATAGTGTTGATGAAGTTCTAATATACAATTGAACACCATTTTGTTTGAAAAACTGACCATTGTTGCACAAAATGCGTCCAGGCTCTGAGAAAGGCGAAGTCGCCGAGACATCAGCCATCAAACAACAGCAAACAATAACAACAACGACAACTTCTACTTCTTCAATAACAACTTTTCCAGAAATCATGTGTTCCTATCCTGTATTTCTTCCTTATGTGAATTTTAACGGTGTCAGTGACATCAGTAGAGCTGCGATCTACTTATTCCTAATGGCGATCTGGATTATGAATGTGGTTGAAATACTGTACATTATTCACACGGACAAAAACAACAAGTGGAAATATTCACGACTCGTAGGTCCGTGGGGCAATTAGCGGTTGCACTACGCATGTCGTCATCTGGATTCTGGAGCACGGCATCGACGAAGGTCAACTCACTGTCGACGACAACGAGCACTATCTCGACACTTTTGACTTCCATTGCTTCGAAAGGGCGATGTTCAGGATTTCCGAAGGAGTATTTCTTTGGATTTGTCACGATACATGGTTGAATCGCTTTGCCGAAATTGGCAAACGTCCACTCGTGTCGTTAGTGAAGAACAACGATATCCATTACGCTATTTTTGTTCGCATTACTTTTAAAGTTGGAAAATGCAGTTGTTCGGGATGTCATACAGCACACGTATAATCGCTGGTTCTACAATGTTCCACGCCAACCAAGCTGTCGATCGCTCTCTGTTGAAAAATTAATACGCCTTGTCCCAGTAGTGCTATTCCAGCACTCGTGGATAATCAACAATAAAGACAGCAGGACGCACACGCAAATACAAAAATCCTCTTCGATGACTGGTGCGAGAGTGCTGAGGTCGGTGGTCAGGTTGTGCATAAAATATCTTGAAAGCAACTACTTTCATGGAAGTCTATCTATTCATGGAATACATCTATTCCATTCAAGCAGCCCTAAACTATCTCACTATGGTAAGCCGTCGGAAAAGTTCACCATTCAGAGGAAAAATTGTTCAAAATATACACTCTAGAACTATGTTTTCCATCTATCTGGATTACTAGAAACCTTTTCTAACCTCATACACTAGAGCCGAAACAATGGATGATCTCTTTGACTGTCAACAGATTTTATTGAAAACTGCGATTTCGCCTGAAGAAGAAGAAACGAAAGGAAAACCCACCCAGACATGTCGTCTTTGAGATTTCCGTTAAACACAGAAGAAATCTCTGTGTCCAGATCATCAATACTTTCGATAGTGGCGGTCGGAGCCGTACGACAAGTCATCATTGAAAACATTGAACCGCCTCTATATAGGTACAGATGAATTTTCGTTTATGTCACTTGGATTAGAGCAAATAAGAAATAAATGGAAGTATATATATACACACATATATATGTACATATATATGTACAAGTATATATAATACGTACATGGATATATATACGCATATATATATGCATATATATATATGTATGTTACAACAAAGGTAAAGCAGAAATTCAGAATTCTCAGGCAAAGATAACAGGAAAACAGGAAGATAGCTAATGCTAGCACGATCCTCAACTAGGAGATTGAGAACAAAAATTATACTTAATGCTGGTAGCCGTCAGCCTAGATTTCCCTTTATAGGAAAAAACGCTTTGTGAAAAGAAACGAATTGGTACGTAGAGTTCAGATAGAGAAAACAGTATTAAGTGTAGTCTATAATGGAATTCCTGCCATTACAGCGCTAGACTTGAATGATATTAGATGTCTAGAAAGAGGACTAAATAGCAACATGGTCAGGAAAACAGTTTTGAACGAAACAAAGAAGAGTTGCTGAACAGCTCACCCTTTGGCACTACTTTTGCCGTCTTCCGGCCGATGGAACTCTTTAAAGGGATTCGAATCGGTTCTGATAGGTTCGTCAATGGGTCTCTGCAATGACGACGGACTGAGTTTTGAAGAAATTCTTCCATCACTTTGATTCCCTAATTGTGGTCTCCGAGATTCCTGATATTTCGCATGACCATCGCCTGACGAATGGCGATGTCGGGGCGATGGTGGTACTTCAATGCTTCTTGCATGAAGCGAAGAAGTCTCAAAAGAGCTACTATGCAAGGAGCTATTGCTATGCTTATCAACAGCTATCGTATCTGTTGTAGGAGGTACGACGTCGACGAGGATCTGCTGCTTTTCAAGCGGGTTCGTTTCTTCCAAAAAAGTAGGATCGTTGCTATTCTGAAGATTTTCCGTGTGTGGCAAGGACACAACAAGTGGCTGCTCCATTACTGCTTCCATTACATCACATTCCACTTCAGATTTCAGGCTAAAAAAACAGATTAAACTAATAAAGTTCGCATTATGTAGCATGCAGACAAGTTGTAGTTCCAACAGCGTATTATTATCGAAAATCTACGCGTAAATATTTTAAGAAATCTCTAATACTAATCAATATGGCTCTTCATTTGAGACAGTGCCAAAAAATATGTAAAATGATATTTGTGAAAATTGCTCCATTTGAATCGCTTGATCGAAACACCTTTTATGAGTACCATGAAGTTATAAATGGTGAAAACGGACAAGCTTAAATTCTATGCGAACCACTACTGTGATAAATACAGGGTGGAAGTGACGGAGCATCGCCGTCATTTTAGTGCAAACCGACCCCTAGCGCAACAAGTATCCTAATAGTAAGATGACGTCATAACACGAACAGGAACTTCGACCTTAATAACAAGCACCAGAATATCAAAAGTAAATCCGATCCGTATTATTAACAAACTATATAATTTCTTTCACCTTACTACATAATGTTCCGAGACCTAAGTAGCACTATATTAGTGATGACAGCATTCACTACGCGAAAACCGGGTTTGACTTTGCATGGACATACCTAGCCCTTAATGTCGACGAGGACGGGAAATTCCTACCAGATTTGTCTGAAATCAGCTCACTCCCTTCAACTCACAAAAAGTGTCGACTGTTTTCGAAGACTGCGAAGTCGGATCGCATAACATAGAAAAACGCATGACTTTTATTTCTTAATAACTAACATTTCAGCAAACTTTGCTTCTGTGATATTAACATATATTCTTGAAATATCAACAGAAAATTCAAATTGACAATTTATAAACACTCTGCTATGCCTCTTTTTTACATATGGCTTGCCGCTCGAAAAATGTTTCGCATGAGTACCTTTCGTTTGTGAAGACAAGAAATAAGAGTATAATGTTAATTTTTTATTTGCTGCCTATTATAATATTTCACGGCAGGGTATTATGTTAAATACAATGCCATTGATGGGTGATTGCTGGCTTATAGCACTGGTAGATAGAAAACTAGCTAAGAGACGGGGGAAATGAAGGACCCCCAAGGCGTGGTGGTGAACGCCCCCGAAAGGGTAATAGCGCGTTCATTCCCCATCGCAGACACCAGCAGTCCGGAGTTTTGCAAAATATCTCAGTACCACCACAACGTTGCTGAGATATTTGCAAAACTCTGGACCGCAGGTGTCTATGGTGGGGAACGAACGCGCTATTATCCTTTCCGGGGAGTAACGCGTTCACCACCACACCATGCGGGTCCTTCGTTTCGCCTGTCTCTCAGCTACTTCTATCGATCTTTTTGCCACAGCAAAAAGAGACAGGCGAAACGAAGGACCCGCATGGTGTGGTGGTGAACGCGTTACTCCCCGGAAAGGATAAGTTTCGGTAGGTTTTACGAATGCTTTTTCTAGCCTCTGCAGCTCCGACCGTGACTGCCGTTCTTCCGCCTTCAAGATTTTGTTTACCGCCCGTCTGCATTATTTTACAATTTCGGACATGAGTTCGTCGTTGCCTACGGCTACAGCCATTCCATACTGGTGTATCAGCTCGTTTTTCTGAAGAAGTCTCTTGGTGAATTTTGAACTCTCAACTATCGTAGTTCTAACGTGAAGATGTTGAATTAGCCGATCGTATTTCTCGTCAATGTCAGCAATAACGGCATCTTCCGAACAGCCGACTAATAATCTGAATAAATCTCGGTTTATGATGTTATGGGATTTCATTTTTTTAAACCTAGGGACTTCCTCTACCTCCTGCGAAAAATAGAGACTTGCACGAAGGATGCTATGGTTTGCTCTCAAGTAGAGTTTAAGGAAAACAGCGAAATCAATTAGTTAAAACCTTCGATTTATTAATGACGTGCTCTATTTCATTATGGTACTCTCCACGGGGAGACTTCCACGTCGAGCGTTGAGATCTGGGCTTCAGTATAATCGCATGTTCCAAAGAACAGTTCTACACCGGTCTCATAGACGGCGCTGAATGAGCAGGATCTTCTCTTCTTAGTCAGTCCGATGACGTCTTGCCTAATCCTTCTACCTGTACGACCAAGTCATCCATTGAGGAAACAGATGCAAGTGAACGTGCATCGTAGGTCCCGCTTGTAACCTTACTTCTTTGCGATTCAGGCGACTTAGAATGTCCGTGAGATTTTAGCAGCCTCTTCATAGTCGTCCAACGCTGCCGAATCGAGAGCTCTTTCGCGTCAGGAAAATGAGGTCCGTTTGTCTCGTTGTGTACACCGTTTGATCGCACATATAGCTCACTCAGCTCTGAAAGTAAGGGCTAGGTATACTCCCGGGTAGTTCCAGTTTCTTCCAGAGTAGATGGAGGAGCTCATTTGTTGGAAGCGACTTCTAGCCGATGTACTTTTGTTATTAGATTGCAGGATTTTGGCCAAATAGATCCCTAGAATACAATACGCATAAACAAGAAACACCCACGCGCGAGTCCATGAATACTTCCTCGTAAAAATTGAAGGTATGTGTCAAATCGGCTGAACGGAAACGAAAATTCCATTTCCTTTATACATCTAAGCCGCAGTGAACCTAAGCATGTTGCTTTCAGTCCGCGAATAACCCCTGTAACCCATCTGAGGACACGCCATGTTGTCTCGCAACTAGCTCGCAAGAGATCTCCGTAAGCAAGATCGTTAGAGATTGAACCTACGTTGCAAAACACTTTCAGATATTGAGAGCTGATAGCAATGTGGTTGGAGACACTAACAAATTGCAAATAGTAACGTGCATCTCTACAAAGAGAAAGAAAATTCTTCTGTAACTTGGTCATGTTCCCGATTCTTCAAGTTACTCAGAAACGTTCATTACGTGCTGACTGTGATGTGTTTGAATGGTGGACGAGTTGCATCAAGCATTTCGCTAATATACAAGAGAAAAAGTACAGAACTGGGAATTGGGACCGCATATATATATATATATATATATATATATATATATATACGACCCGTCTTTCGCATGTACTGTGCGGATCCGAGGACTTCTCGCATTCGATTCACTTCCTCGCGCCCATCATCCATGAAGGTCTTCTAACTTCTCATGTGGCTTCAGCTGCTGCTTAAGGATTTCCATTTCATCTCGAATGTCGTAGAATGCTGCTCGAGTCGATTCTCCTGGAACCTTGAGATAGTGTTCTCACCTGGATTGCAGAAAGTGCACTTTTCCCGTATAAATCTGCTACCACTTTCTCGACCATACCTGGAGGATAGCCTTGGTAAGGCGGGATCGAACTAGCACCGTGCTCTTGGTGACCGACACCACTACAACTGTGCTATTCGACCCCTTGTTAGTATATGATGTGTTTAAAACCTAGTATTTAGCATCTAGGAAAATTTACTGAGTAAAATATAACATTCTTGAAGACTCTCGTCCACTGCTATCAGCACCCAAGTATTCATAATTAATATTTCAAAACCCACTTACCTTCAACATCAGTACGACTAATCAATTTGCCTTTCTTTAATAGGTTTACATGATGTTGATAAATATTCCTTATTTTTGGCTAACGTTTCAAGGTCTTCGATCAACCGCTCTGAGGAAGACGAAGACGTGCAAACGTTAGCCGAAAATAAAGAATATTTGACAAATTCAAGTAAGCTAGAAGCAGCCATTGAAGCCCTTGATAGCCAAGGAGTTCCTACTCAGTACATATTCTTCTTGAGCTGCACAAAAATTTCACAACCAAAATAGCACTGTTCAACAACGCTATTAACACTGACGTCAAAAGAGGAGCTAGACAAAGCGATACCATCTCGCTAAAATTATTTACCGCCACCCTCCATCCAGAACGTCATGCGAACATTGGAATGGGATAATATGGGAGTGAAAATGGATGGTCTGCAATTACACCATCTTCGCTTTGCTGATGACATAGTTCTTATAACGCCAAGCATTAGTCAAGCGGAACGTATGCTTACCGACTTTGATAAAGCCTGTAGAAAGATTGGTCTTCGACTAAATCTCGCAAAAACGATATTCATGAGGTACGGATTGGTTTAGTATGCCCCATTCGCGCTCAACGGAATGAATATCTCGGAAGGTTCCATATTTAGGTCGGAAAGTCAACATAATAGACGACTTAGCTCCAGAGACGAGTAGAAGGAAATGAGCGACTTGGAAAGCTTTCAAGAACATCGAGGATGCAGTGAGGAAAACAGAGAACACTCGACTTCTGCCAACCTTTTCGACTCCAAGATACTTCCTGCCTTTCAGAAACCTCGCTTCGTAACCAGGATGAAGAGTCATTCAGCGTTTCTGCGTCAACGATCAAAAATCAAAGATGCCGTTCTGTACGCCAAACAGTCGAAGATAATATTTCGAAACCGACCTTCCCTAAACCTCGGTGTGACTAATCAATATGTATTCTTTCTTGATAAGCTTGCACGAGGTTGGTAAATATATTTATTTTCGCTTTGTGCTGGCTGATAATACACCGACCTCTGCACGATGTGCGCAGTGATGTATGTCCGGAAGAAATACAAGTTGTTACCACCGGACATTGTCATTATATATCCACCATCAGCATCGTGTATAAAAGGGCATCACTGAGGATGCCTCATTCGAGAAGATGGCTCACTGAGGAAGATTTGGCTCGACACGAAGGCGAAGACGCAACGTCGAGGCGAACAACAAGCATGGACCATCGACTCGGATCACCGGCTCTGAGGAAGACGAAGACGTCGAAACGTTAGCCGAAAATAAATATATTTATCAAGCTCGTGCAAGCTTATCAAGAAAGAATACATATTGATTAGTCGAAGATAAGTTGGGCTGGACACGTAATGCGTATGAATGACAACCGATGGACAAGAGCCGTTAGTGACTGGATTCCTCGGGATGCAAACGTGTTGCGGGAAGACCACCGACCCGATGGTCATAGTTTCTCACAAAAAGCCTAGAGGAAAGATTTGATGCTCGACGAGTCTCTAAAGCGAGCAGAACCTACTGGACTACTTTCGCACGCGACAGGGAAAATGGAAGATTTATTGGCGCCCGCTCCAGTCATTCGACGATCAACGAGACTGCAGGCGATACAGGTGATCTATGACCGGCTAGTTCTGCTTAGCTACCAATTATCTTAATTTGTTTTTTAATGGGTAATAATGCCTGATATTCTTTCTTCCAAATCCTTCCCAAAACATCGACAATTCCACTCTGTAGCAAACACCAAGACCGACTTTTTATTAACTTAGGCACTGACCAATAATTAACTGTTTTTTTTCAATGAGCAAACACAACGTTGGTACTATAGTATTTATTGACACACAGCTGAAGTTTGGGCGATTTCGCCTGCTATTGAGCCTGGAAAAGTAAAATTGGCATGCAGTCTACTCAGCCAAATGCTTTCATAACTTCAGCAGATAAAACTTCAAACAAAAATTTCATTCGCGTAATAAACAGCTTCTTTTAAATAACCACATTTTGTTTGTTGCAAGTCTTCCGGTTAATTAGTTAAAACCAGCAATCCAGAGTCTTATGTGGGTGAGGAAAGTGAATGGGTCGGATCACAGAATCAGCTAGAGGTATGGCGCTAGGTCAGGCGTGATCACAGGTTACTACTCCTTGCGGCTCACTTTTGGATTTTTCGAATTAATCCAAAACGCTTCAAGAATTTTCTGCGCTAATGTCCTGAATTTCTTTGCGAGGATGGTGACTTTAATTTCAAAATCTCCTCGTTTATGGTTATGTGTCCTATGAGCGCTTAGTGGAATGTTTAGTTTCAATTAAAATTTGCGGATTAGCTGTTCTTTTAAACGGACGTATACCCGTTTGGCTGACTACATTGAATGTCAATTTGACCATTCTAGGCTCTACAGAAGGCCAAACCACTGAACGCTAGCTATTGTATGCTAATAAGTGCTATAATTCCACTTTGTATTTCACCTGGAGGGCGCCGTGTGGCGCAGTGATCGAAGGTGCCCTGCGACACACTTGAGATTGATCCTCGCGCCCGTGGCTCACCAAGCCTCCCATGTTTCCGTAGTCGGCAAAATGGTATTGGACTTGTCTGGGAGGATAGCAGCACTGGCTCGATACATCGGTAGGCCACCACGAGTTATTGTAAAGGCCAGATATGTATTCAAACACCTCGAAACGATGCTTAATGAAGTCAAATGTATGTCGCATTCCTCAGAGATTGATCAACGCGGAAAGCTTTATCCTTCTTTTGTTTCACTGGAAGCATTACAAGATATAACCTTTTCTTCATCAATCACAGCTGGAAACCAAGTTTGAAATCAGAATAGCTTCACTTTCATTGCTAATAAATGACTAATCACTCCTTAATTCCCTAGTTAGACACTTCAACTGTCACCTTCCAGTCCGCACGAAAGCAACGATTATGTATGTCTAACATATAGGCAGCTACGTGTTATTCTGTGTAGCGGACGTATGAAACCATGGAAGCGCCTAGCTTTTCATCGATCGCATACTATGTGCCTCGATATCTTTTCTTACAATCTATTTTGCCTTCAGAAAATACCTTTTATTTTTAATTGTTATTACGCTCACCTTCCAATGATTTAGTAGTCCAGTGATTTTTGCGCTTATTTCTTAACCCTTTTTATATCCTACTTCTCTATGTACTATACATCTTCCCATGCTCTTAAAACAAGTAGCTGTAAAACATTAGTACGACACTATACGATGTGATTAAAAATATTTCGGTTTTCTTTTGTCCGATACCACACAACCGTCGTAGTGATTGGAAATAGTGATCAATCAAAACAACAATAAATCCTTGATCAGCACTGAACTTTGTGGACTGAAATCATGCCGCAGCCAGACGAAATAGATTTCATTTTCCACTGGATGCCCAAGTTTTCCAGAGCATATGGACAAGACGATGAAGATGGAGCAATCGGCAACAATGGTGAAGACAATGACCAGTGTAGTACAGTTACATTCTCCAAAACAGCTGGATTAAAACAAATGACCCTGTCTAAGTGAACAGATCAACCGTCGTAGTGAGTGGAAATAAAATAACAATAAATTCTTGATCAGCACTGAACTTTGTGGGCTGAAATGATGCTGGCGCAAGCAAAATATATTTCATTTTCCACTGGATGCCGAAGTGTATCAGACGATAAGGACAAGATGCCGAACATGGATCAGTCAGTAAAGATTGTGAGGACAATGACCAGTGCAGTACTGTTTCATTGTCCACAATATTTGGATTAAAACAAATGATCCTGCTTGAGTGAACAGAACTGATACATTAGCAATTCTCCAAACCAAATCTCTATTAACTTCAGCATTCATCAATAATTGGCAGTTTTCTTGATAGGTAAACACGTGGTTGTTGTTATAGCCTTTATTCACAAAAGCTGACGTATCGGCGGACTTCGCGGTGTTTACTTCCAGTCTGGAAACGTCAGGAACGCAACCTGGTCAGTCAAATACCCTCATAACCCCAACAGAAAAAGCACGAAACCTAGACTTCAATCATGCCGTAAACTAAATGGCTTCTTCCCTTTCTATAATTGCCCACTCAGTATTCCACGTGGAGACCAACCGTTCAGAGTTCACACGAATTTTCGTTCCGAGACATTGTGTGAGACCACGCGTGATAACCAGGTAATCCTCGCGGTGGTTCATTCATTTTTGGAATCTTGCAATTAATGCGGAACGCTTCCAGAGTTCTGTGCGCTGAAGTTTTCGATTCCTGTGCGAGGATAGCAACTTCTACTTCATAGCCTTCATTATGTCTCTCTCTGCTATGGCGCACAGACGAGAATTTGGTTTAACTCTCTATCGCTAAGGCAAATTAGGACAATTTTGCATTGCGCACAAATGGTCGTACAAACAGTTATGAACCAGACGGCGTGTGTTCGGTGGTAATTCAATCAACGCTACTGATTTCTCTAAACCAGCCTTTTTTGAGCAATGTTTTGTAGCCGCATTTATTTCGATGGAAATGAAGAGCAGGACAAACGGGACATTATTCTCGATAGAATTACCATTAGGAGGTGGGTTTCCTCTACACCTATCCCGATGAGCTATAGTTGTTTAGTCATTGGAAATGACTATTTTTTGTGCCAATTTCAGGTATCCTTTCTTCAGCTCTCTTCTTATACACCCACTGGTGACTGTTAAAACATGTGTGCCACAAGCGTCCTTTTTGGAGGACTTAAAGCAAGCCGTGAAGATTTTTCTATTTTGCTAACTGCTTTCTATATTGTTAATACTGTATCATTATTACGTATTATTATGTATTATACCATTTGTCTTTTCAGTTAGCTATCTTCCAATGTGAACGAAATCTAGGATTCGTTGTTTTCCTGTTAATGGTATGAAGGTAATTTATTGACCATATTGTAGTCAACTTTATCTTTCCAGGCTGTGAAAAAGGCAAAATCCGTCGAAACACCAGCTTTTATGAATGAAGAGTATAATAACAACGTCGTGCGTGCTTATAAAATAGCGAATTAGCACATGATCTCATAAATTCTGTATGGTTCACCTTTTGGTATGTAAGAGAGACTGATAGATGCGGAAAAAAGAAGCATGGGTCATGCAAGCGCTTAACTAATGAAGAGGTGAAAAGAACCATTGGTCTCTTATCTCAAATGAGAATCCCTAAACTTCGAAAACTGAGAGACTATTGTAGAGGTTGCTCTATTTTTAAGCGTAGTCATCTTTAGTCATCGTTAGCAATCAAGTTATACATTTGAACAATTACTAACTCCTCTCCATTTGGCTAATAATAGAACATATAATAGCCGAGACAAATTGTTCAAGGTCAGTTCACTTACTGATCTTGTTAATGGGAATTGCAAAAGAGTGCACAGGTTATAAACTGTGGACCTTGCAGAATCACAATAGTTTTATTTTTCTGTACATAAATTTTGAGTAGTAATTGCACAGTAACGACGCGTCTTGCACAGTGATCGGAACTGCACCGGAATACAAACGTGGCTCGCTGGTTCAATGACATACAGCTGGCCTACCAAACCTTCCATCCATCGGGATTGTTAAAACAATAACTTAACACATCGGTACGCCCCATGAGTCACTGCATAGGCAAAATTTGCATTCAGTCACCTTAGCGATGCTTAAAGGAGTGCAATGCATGGGATTCTCTTAGAGATTAATCAACACTGGACGTGGTTTCATTCTTTTACTTTTCAAATGTACAGTAATGACGTGTGGGTTGGGCTGTGATGATTGTTAACGTTATGTAGAAAGTGTTTGTTGTAAGAATTAAAGAACGCGACATAAATATTTGTGAGTGCAACGTTCTTAAAATCACTGAAATACCAAAAGTACCATTGAAATCTTGTAGGAATAAAGGCTGATAGTACTTAGTATTTCCAAAGATTCACTGTAAACAGCGATGAACATATTGCGAGCACCCATAGTCCATAGAAATACTACACACACGTCTATACAAATTCCCTTGGTTTACACTCATACTATTTATCACCTCATCGCTGTGAGAAAATATCCCTACATTTCGAACCTCAGTGTGCTGGTGCAGTAGAAATGTTGGCACTCCCTAAGAAATTCAAATCACAGCAACAGAACTCGTCCGAGAAAATGTTCCTTTGTAAAATATTAAGTGTATGGAGCACCTTTACACGTGCAACATTTTGCATAACTTCTGTTCGATAAACTGTCCATAAAATGTGGGAAGTGTGGCGCAAAGCTCTTAGCGGAAAAATAAATAGCCAGAGACAATACACATTACAACCAACGCATACTGTGTTGTACCCTATCAGTGGGTATCCACAAAAACTGTGGATAAACGCTCTGAACATGGAAATAGGAGAAGAGATAGGATTTTTACCAATGAAATATTTGAAGAACAACATAGAATACAGGAATTATATCTCGCAATTGCAATAAAAATCGCTATAGAAACGAAGACCTCAGGATCGATAGACCATGAGCAGCGCGAATTTGGACAAGTGTAGTATAGATTATGCACTCAGAAGTCCGATAAAATGTAAGTAACAAATGTTTAGAAGGATATTTAGAATGCTTTTGCCGTAAATATTCCAATAAAATGAAATCAATATCTCATCTATCTATCAACATCTCAATAAAATCAAAAATGCGTTTATTAGCACAAAAATGAATGAATTAGAAAATGATAGGAAATAGAAGACTAAAGAATCTCGCCTGGTCGAAATCCAAACAGCTATACAAAATTGTTTAGCTAAGAAGTAGTTGTATCATGTTATGGATACCCTTATCCATAAAAAATATACTGACCTGGTCATTTGTTGCTCTTGGACTTTTTGTTTGACCTCGATTAATTTTACAATTTCTTCACAATCCTCTCGTTCATCAAGAGAACGATAGTCCGGTTTCGTCACCTAAAAAAGCATACAAGGATTTTTTGCTTCGATACCTTTCTGTGATATACATGACATCATTCTCACTAGTGAGCAAAACATTCATTTATTACTTATTCTTATTCCGACATTTATTCAATAAAGCCACCAAAATCAGCAAATATATAACTTCTGCAGAAAGTTTTCACAACGCTATTTACTCGTACACTGGAATTTATCCAAAAAAAACGAAACAGTCCGCATAGCCTTGCAGTAGGGCACCCATTAAACATCAAGTCCGGATCTGTCAAAATGAGTGTTCAGCTTCAGAAGGAAGAAAAACGGAACAAGAGGAAGAGAAAACTGCCTCATTTGACCTGACACATCCGCGTCCGCGTTGGTTTTTTAACCTTTTCACGATCACACACATTGAATTCAATATGTACGGTGTTGTACGTTACGAACGGTAAATCTTGATTCCAATGCGCATGAGAGTCACCAGAAAATCAGAACTATGTTGTAATAGAAAAACAGAGTCTATATCTTATTAGCAATGATTTTCAAACATAACCTGTAAACACACATTCATTTAACCTTGGTATGAATGATCAATGTACCTTATTTCATTGACAAGCCAACACGAGATTGTTACCCAATCATTTATTTGTCTATTCCGATGTTTCGTCTTCATCGGAGCCGATGATCAGACCCGATACAATGAAGACCACATCGAGAAGGCGATCAGATCATCCGCTCTAATGAGGACGCAGACGTTGGGACGGTAACCGAATAAATGATTGGTAACAACCTCGTGTTGGCTTATCAGTGAAATAAGGTACATTGTGAATGGCTTAATTTCAACTCACAAAGTTTGCTATAAGTTGAGATATGTTGATTTGTAACCATAAGGTTGATAAGCTATGAGCAAAACTCGTAAACTCAGGTGAGCTGACACCTGAAGTTCTATGTTTAGCTCATATCTCAGAGTCCCTATGGTTGCATACCACATCGTAACCTGCCATAAAAAAGAATAGGCAAAAAATAAAAGTTAAGACATGTTGATTTAAATATGAAAGAGGTAACTACTTTGGCAACATGTGCGTTGAAATAAATACACTTAGTCCATTAAGTGTTAAGAATGAAATTCTTCGCTAATTTATCATAATTCATTTTACTTGCATTACCAACGTTTCTTACAAAACAAAAAGTAATACCACATAACTCCCAAATAAAATATGCTGAACTAACCTTAGACAAAAACCTAAACTTCATCTCGTTGTTAAGATCAGAGGTGATGAGCTTGGGACTGCCTGATCGCCCCCTCAATTGCACAGGTTTTGAAGTTGTTTTCAGCTGGCCTGTAATACCACACGATTTGCTCCCATTCTAGAGAATGACAATGTTTTCGCACAAACTACTTCACGTCAAACTCCACTAACCCGGTCGCAGTTGCAGTTCAATAGGCATGGCATCAAGTCCCGCACGCCATTCAGCCAATGAAGCAGCTGGTGTGGGACCTCGAGTAGGTGGATACAATTCCGGATGGAAATGATCTGTCTAAAGCTACTTCGCATAAAAGTCATATGTATAAGTCGTGTCCATAAAAACGGCGCGTGCGGCGCAGTGGTTGAAGGCACCACTGCGACACACACACACACGTGGAATCGATCCCCACGCCCATGGGCTGCCAAGCCTTCCATCCCTCCGGAGTCGACAAATTGGTACCAGACTTGTCTGGGAGGATAGCAGCACTGGCCCGATACATCGGCAGGCCACCGCGAGTCATTGTAAAGGCCACATAGGCATTCAATCATCTCCAACGATATTTAATGAAGTCCAATGCATGGCCCAACCCTCAAGGACCAATCAACGCCGAGAGCTTTATCTTTTTTCTTAATCCATTCTAAAAAATATAAACACATCTTCAATGGTAACCTATTCGTGGCAGCGTCATTATAGCAACGCATACGATAGGCCAAAACTGAAATCGCGTTGAAAACATTTCTTCCTGCTGTTTAATTTGCCACAGTTTTTTTCGCACTACTTTCGCATTCGGTCGATAGTTGATTCAACACAGAAATGTGATACTACCTCCGAACGGTTTATCAGCTCGTCGTTGCTGGGAGGTGTTTACGGCTGTCGGAATGCGATGTACGGCGGAGAAACCCATCTTCCCCCCGGCAGGGTCTCCCAAGATGAAAGAGTCCGGCTTTTCGATCACGAAGCCCAACTAAGAGTAAACCAATACCAAGATCCACCACTGCCCTGGTATCAAACTAGTCGCATGGTGGCAAATCTCCCTCTGATCCAATAAAGGCGGCGACTGTCTATGGTAGTGACGACCTGGGGCAGACCTTGGCTACGATGACATGGTCCGACATCGTCCAATGTGATTAATATTTAGATAGGCTGCCGTTTGAGGATTTTTAGTCTTCTTTATGAATGTCGTAAAATGCTGGTTAAGTCGATCCTTCATGGAATCATAGGCTAGCCATTCTAGGGCGTCCCTTCCCCCCAGACAATCGAGTTTTTGAATGAAGAGAAAAAACTGATCTCAGACAAGTCTTGTACCAAATTCAGATGAGCTTGGCTACCACGAAGAGGGATCAAGGCAAGGCCTGTGCGTATTCAACTGCTTCAGTCGCGATGCGCTACCAGCGCGCTCAAACAGTTTTCGAAATTTGTCAAATTTGCACGATAACAAATTGTCTATAGGTAACCTACCCTACGTGGAACTACGAAAGAAATTGGCTGAACGAGCAGTGATTGGGGATGTAATCTGAAAATACGAACATGTAAGGAATACGTAAGCCTTTGGAGACTCTATCAGTAAATACTTTAAAGGAAGAAAATGGCTAGACGGTTAGGCTGAAAAAAAAATACCAAACTTGAGAATGCTATTCTATACATGTTATACCAAAACTTACCTGTACACCCTCATCACTTCAGCACCGATGAAATTTAAAGCTCTTTTTGAAACAGTACACACGAAGGTGTGTGGCGCTGGTTGATGACATTCGGTCAAATGTATCACATAAGGGGAAACAGTAATCAATTCATATAAACGAAATGTCGAATCTCCCTGGAAAAATACAACTCAGATCAAAGGAATGGAAGAACAGAACAGCACATAGCAATGCACTCGAAAAAGTTCAGCTTGCAAACAACTAGGGCACGAAGAGTACTGAAGCCGTTAGGGAGCTTTTAAAGATTAGTGAGCCTTTAATTTCGTAGATCAAATTCAGGGTAGTCTCTAACGTTTGTATAACAAAATGTACTTCACGGAAAAATTGCTCACTGGAAATAGCTCGTTGTCTAATTGGGTTGATCAAATTGAACACACACTGAATTCTTTTACAGAATGAAAAGCAAAAGTATGAAAACCGCACTTTTCCTGAAACATAGAGAATATTGAGATCTGGATCGAAAATTGGGCACAGTTGGCCGGAAGACCCGTCTACGTCTATTATGGCAAGAGGTGAATCAAAAGACGAAATCGAATGAATCGCAAATTGACGTCTATTTATCCGAGTGTTTCCAAATGTTACCAAACGTTGAGGGCTAGCAAATAAAACCTGAAATATAATAAAGCACTGTCAGTTACATGAATTAAGTACATATAAAAAACAGTAATGCGTCATTTAAAAGCTCATATATCAAATAAATGCAAAAGTATTCATGCTTGTACGACAAGACAATTGTCACCTTTGGAGGCATTCCACCATCATGAGGTAGAACAGCGCTCTTCATAGCGTTACCTGTACGAGCATCAAAAATACAGACCCTGAAAATGAAATTCGCCAAATGAACTAACATTTGTTTAGTCCTATGGCTCCAATGGCCTTAGCAACTTTCACATATTCTTCACAAACGATAAATTATGTTTGCTGTGTTACAAGCCACCTCTAGTCCATGGACCTCAATTCTTTGTAGTTGCAGACACCCTCGTTTCAATACTGTCAGCAAGAACGATATAATCTACTACAGAAAAATTAAAATGAAACAATGTCATCAAATTACCGATGAGACTGACGAGAAGTTGCGGCAAACAACGAGGAATTTGGAGAAAATGCAATACAAGAAGCCAGAAAATCAGAAATCTGTAATAGTATATCTGGGAAATAAAAGATGTGGTTTTTGTTTCTAAAGAAAAACAGACAAAAGTAGCCAATATGAACACGAAAACACGAAACTGATTCCTAAGGAACAGAAATGACTACGTAGAAATGTTGAGCTTCGCGTACTTCACATGCAACCGAAAAGAAGCTCTATTACACGAAAAAAAAACTAGTAAAAATAACCGCATAAATTACTGCATTAGTCTCAACGTCCCAGAGAAGAATTCGGCTATCTGAGCCAGCAGAGAGAACCACATTATCAACCGTAGTATGCCACTCCACTTGGTCGACTCGGCGAGAATGCCGTTCCAACGTTTGAACACACTGTGCCTGAATTTGCTGCCCTTCTAACATTATGACAATATGAGCAATATACACTTTACGGACGAAAACAGCATAATGAATGCTCTTTTGCGTTGTTGTAAACTACAAATTTTGTTGGTGCAAAAAATAACTTTGGAGACCTAACAGTGGTTGCAAGTCATAAATTAGTGGACAACTACGTCTGGTATTCTGGTCATTGTAGATAAGAGAACGAGGTTCTCTGTTTTTGCTGTGGAAGTATTTCCTAGGTACGCAGGGATATCCTATATGAGGATTGTATCCTGCACATCGATTCAGTCAAGAACTTGCAATAAAATAGATGGAAATCAACTGAAAAGTTGCTCCAACGTCTATTTATCGCCCATTTTTCTTCATTACAGGATATGAAATAATTGTAACTGAAAAATTCTTTCTACTTCTGTTCAGCAAACACGAGGAGGTGCTATTTTATTTCCTTATTTACGTTCAAGCTGACGTTTCGGTGGATTTCGCCTTCCTCAGAGCCTGGAAAAGTCAAGTTGGCAGCAACCTATTCGACCAAACACCTCCACAACCAAACAGAGAAAACGCTAAACCAAGATTTCAATCACATTTAACAAAGCTCTGTACACTCACCGCTTTCTATGAGTCTGAGTATGTCGTGTGAAGACCGACCGCACAGAATTCACATGGAAGCGTAATGTGCCCCTCCCATCAGAATAACAGGTTTATATACTGTTCAATATCACGCGTGATAATGAGGCATTCCTCCCTGCGGTTCATTTTCGGATTCTTGGAATTAATCCAGAATGCCTCTAGAGTTTTGCGCGCTTGTGTTCTCGAATCTTGCGCGAGGATCGTAACCCTTACTTCAAAATCTTCTCCGTTATGTCTAACAGACAGACAAAGATTCCTACAAAGACAAAAATGTCTTCCTCTGCCTCTATAGGTCGACTAGGTTGCTGTCAACTTGACCGTTCCAGGCTCTGAGGAAGGTGAAATCCGCCGAAACGTCAGCTTGTACGTAAATAAAGAATTAAAATAGCACCTCATGTTTGCTGAACAGAAGTAGAAAGAATTATTCAACAAATGCCGAGGTTAATAGAAAGTCGGACTTGGGTATAACTGAAAAGTTATTTAGCATTGTCTCGTAGTCTAGGTCCAGGCGAAAGCGTAGAATAGTCTGAGTACACCCAACCTCTACAGCACAACATGATAAGCTAACCGTGGATATCAACTGAAAAAAAATAACAAGAACAAAGAGATTCATTCCCATTATCTCAAAAAGGTTTCTTTTTACATAGATGAGGAAGTGATAGTTAAAACAAGTACAGAAAAATGCTAAAATATTGACGACAAATTAGATTACGTAGGGACGCATGCAGCGCAGTGGTCAAAGATGCCCTGCTATGCCCATGGGATCCCGCACTCAAGGCTTACCAAACATTCCATCCGTTCGGAGTCGGTAAATTGTTACCAAACTTGTCTGGAAAGATGGCAGCACTGGCTCGACACATCGGTAGGCCACCGCGAGTTATTGTAAAGACCAGATATGCATTCAGTAACCTTCAACGATGGTTAATGAAGTCAAATGCATAGCGCATCCCTCAGGGATTGATCAAAGTCGAGAGCTTTATCATGTATCTTTATTAGAATACGTAAACCTGCTAGGAATAAGGTGACGACCCGAAGTTACAACACTTCCATACTAGTATCTGAATCTTTAATTCAGGTCCTGATAACGAGGGGTAGGAAGAGTAAGTATAACATCTTTGGAATAGCTTAGAAAAAAGGTACTACCCTCTAAAAACAGTCTGTGACCCTGGACAAAAGTATAGAACAGGAGATAATGTAAAAGCCAGCGGACTTAGCCTACATGACATGATTTCGGCATACATGTCGATTATTTTAGACAAGAAACGGCCAGCATCAAAATTCTATGATTAAAAAGATGTGAACGAATACTGACTTTTATGATCCACCTCTTAACATCAAGCCGTGATGAAGATGACACCGAATCATTCCATGCATTCAGGGTCGATAGATTGGCACCAGACTTATATGGAAGCACAGTAGCACCGACATGATAGACCAAAGCGAGTCAATGTATAAGATAGATGCGCATTCAACCACCTCTAACGATGTTTGATATACTGGAACGCATTGCACATGCCTCAGGGAATGATCAACGTCCAACGCTTTATTCTTTGTCCATTCACGGCAAAATAGGTGTGCGTTATGTTATCGTAGAATAGATTGCCCGACGGTTCTCATGAATCTATCATATCCCCGAAAGATCAATCAGGAGGTTAACAACGACTGCAGTTCAAGATGTTTCTTCGCCGACTTTATGGCGATACCTTTTTACTGTAGCAATTTGACCAGTAGTCAGGAATTTATGGTAAATGACTCCACCGAGACGTAAATTGTTCTTTGACTAAATCGCACAGAAACGATATTCATGAGGAAGGACTGATTTCGTATGCTCCACCCACGCTCAATAGAATGAATATCTCCGAATACATCAGATACAGATCGGTGAAATTAACATGATGAACATAGCTCCAGAGTTGGGCAAAAGGAAACAAACGGCTTGGGGAACTTCCAAGAGCATCGAGGATGTAGTGAAGAGGACGAAAAGCACCCGATTCCGTGCCCACCTTTTCGACTCCACGATGCTTCCTGCTAGCGTATGCGTCAGAAACTTGGTTGCTGTGCAAGCAGTATGAAAGATTATTCAGTGGTACAGTCGGAAGGACGACGCTAGAAGTATGCAGCGTCACACAACAGAAAGGATCCGAAGCTCCGACCTGCTTCAACGATCAAAAATCAAAGATGCCGCTCTGTACGTCAAACGGTCGAAGATAAGGTGGGCTAGACACGTAATGTGTATGAACGACAACCGAAGAAGAGCCGTTAGCAACTGGATTCCTCAAGATGTCAAACGTACTGCAGGAGGAGTACCGATCCGATGGTCAGAGTTCTTCACGAAAACGCTAGAAGAAAGGTATGATGTTCAACGAGCCCCTAGAACGAGCAGAACCCACTAGGCTACGCAAGCGACAGCGAAAAATGGAAGATTTACTAGCGCCCGCTCGAGCCACTCGACGATCAACGGGAGGACAGGTGATACACGTGACTCCACTGTAGAACACGAAAGCCAGCTTACTCTCAGATGCCAACTCTTGGTTGTTTTTAAGCATTTTGTCTCTTTCCACCTTTGACAACAAAGACATCGGTTGGTGCAAAGAAACAAGTTTTAACTACTTGATTACATAACACAATTCAACGAAAAAATGGACCATTCGAATGGTGAAACTACGAAGTAGTTAAAAAATTTTTACACGACTAAGCCACAACCACAATGATACTGAGAGGAGCAAAACTCAAAAACTGATATGACCTTTGAACCTGTGATTATCCTTTCCGAGGTCTCACGTTTCATCCACTGTCCAGACCCTTCCTTTGCTTTCATCCGAGTTCTTCTGAGTTTCTGGAGTTCTGAGTTTTGCGCATCTCATCATTATTTTGGTTGTATTTCAAATAATACTGCCATGAAAACAACAATAGGCAGTAGATTAAAGTTAAACATTGTGATTTTGACAGCAACATAAGCCTAACTGGATGTACTGTCAATATGTGTTCGCCCCAGATTATTCTCCTGACGAATGATTGATGATAACATCGTAACGGTCAAAACTTTCTGAGAAAAAGGCAACGTAATTACCTTGAGGGTAGATAACACGTGAGCCGTTGGATGGAGAAATCGCGGGTGTGAAGTTCAGCTGGTGTTCCAAATTTTACTCATTTCTCAGCATCATTGCGGTGTAATTATTCTTTCATTTATAAAACTGTTTTGAAAACAAAACCCGCAAGAAATCGGAAACTAAATTTTAAAATATCAAACAAAACGTTGCAATCCCGAACATCATTCGCTTCAATGTTCAAAACATTAGCGTCGATGAAGAAAAAAGAAAATTCGTCCCGCGGGTTCCAGAAAATCAGAAATTCATCGTGGTAAAAAAGCTTCCACCATGCAGTTTTGCAGATTCTAATAGTTTCTGTTCCAATTAATAACATGCGTTATGAGTTAAGATATTTTGTTTCAACCTTGACAGCGGCCTTCATTTTCGCACCACGAACATTTAAATTAATTCATATGCTACGTTATGTGTTAAATAAGTATAAACCTTCAGTCCATCTGTTACATGCCAAATCTTAACGGAACAGTCAGTTGAGCCGCTTGCTAAAACATTATCGTTGAAGTGGTCCCACTTAATATCCGTAACAGCACCCTAAAAAATGGCAATAAGCAAGAAAAAGTACACTGTGATGATCAGACTCATCGAGATGCACCATGGAATTCGAATCTCACTATTCAGTGAGATAATCACTCTGAATCTTACTTGATAATAACAATCGTTAGAAATAGACGGAAAAGTAGAAAAAGCATTCGGCAGTCAATGTTAGATATTCTCAAAATTTGCCGCCAGTCTTTTGTTGTTCGGCATTACGTTAGACAGAACACTCCTATCTCAGAAAAAGGATTTCCTGGCCAATTAATCCCGAAAATACATTCATAGTGATATCCATTAATGATTCTGCCACTTTTTCCTTGATTCACCTACAACTATACTCACCGCATGATCTTGCAACCGCGCAAGTCCAATGCGACCATGTCGACCAAAGTCTTCGTGAGTACCAACCTAAAAATGCATTAATGTCACTATCACGCAAATCAATCAACACAGCTTCAACGATTGGCCAGAACGAGCCTATGAAACAATACTGATCGCTAATTTTCAAGCGGTTTTTAATCTAATCTGCCGCCAATGAATGCTCTACGTATCATTTTAAGGTTCAGATTTAGCTTCATTTCATCGAAAGTATGTCCTTAGATGTCGAGCCGCAACGTGCAGCAGATAATTTACTCCTTTGACGACGTCTCTAGGGCAGAACTCAACATTTTCAGCCAGAAATCCAGCTGAAATCAAACAAACGCCTAGTCATTGTTGTTCTTGAACAAAACCCAGTTTCAAAGTGGTAAACCTCATTGCTGTCCACTAGAGCAGGCAATAGCACTTACCGAGCAAACAACATCAATGCCTTGCATTCTTGGAACATTGAATAAGAAAACCTTACACAAAACACCAATTTGATGGAATTGTGACCTGGCCATAATACGTCCTCATTAGTACGAGCCCTTTCATCACGTATCAAGTAAATATGTGTCACACTTCATATTTTCTACCAAATTAAAAATATATTTTGTTCAAAACTGTTACAGAAAACAATACTCTTAATAAGAATGGTTGCGCACACCGATGAAACGTAAATCAAGATTGTACTAGGATCTACAAGAACAAAAAGAATACTTAGCTCACAGAAAGCAACAAGTAAACCAAATTATTTGTTGCATCTAAGCAAAAAAAGATCATAGAACTCCACCAGAATTTGTCCTCCTGCTCCTCCATCGAGCGCTATCGCAACAAATTTTGGATTTACAACTACACTCGAGCCATGTCCAGCACCCCAATCAAACCACTCTCCTCTTTGAACCGGCTGCGCGAAAATGTGACGAAATGTGGCCGCACGGCTGCCCAATGGACAGTCTTCTAAACAGCATATATACTACGAAAAAAGAATAGAATATGTAATATAATGGAGACCACATTCTCTTTGCTATGGATAGGATTTCTACTTAAGCCACCCACCGCCGTATTGCTTCTAATGCAACTTCCGACTCACTTTTTTTTTTCGCATTGCTGGTATATACACAACCGGTGACAAAGCTTTATATATACACATATATGTATGTTTATACATACATATATATACACATACATACGCACATATATATGAATATATATATATATTTGTATATACATGTACATATGGAGAAAGGAAGGGAGAGACCACAGAGTTAGGAATAGCATATATTTTATCATCCGCCCCATGCATGTAGTAAGCATTTCCCAACATTATTTACAATTATCATACGAGTATTTGCATTTCAAATTAAGAGACCCAAAGCCTCCATGCTTTCCCCACATTGTAACTTCTCCATAACTACCGGCAACGCCACCGGGCACGGCAACATCGCCTGTTGGCTCGACTGGAAAACCTTCTTCGCCTTGTTCAAGCATGGGTTGCGTCACGCCATTCGCTTGTATACTGGTCGTACCGTTTACATCACTATCCATCTCGTTCGATTAGCATCCCTACAATCATCGTATCTTTCTTCGTGCTTTACTCTGTGTAGAAAATCCTAATTGTTAGCTCTATCTGCACGCGGCGACTATTGTAGGTTAGCTCGTTCCACTGTAATGCACGTTTTAACTCATTAACAGCACTGTGTGGTCATTATCAGTTAATGTTGTCAAAAGTTTACATGTATCCTTTACAGCATTAACCTCATTATATATGCAAATACGAATGTGTCGTTTTCTTGTTCAGCAATCGCGAGGTTTTTAAACAGCATACATTTACTTCCATAAAAAACACAATACAATACAACAGCAGCTAACGTTTCGGTAGTATCGCCTTCTTCAGAGCCTGGAAGGGTTTACTGATATACAATCTACTAGGCCAAACGCTTCAATAACACAAAAAGAAGAAGAACTCTCCGGTAATTACATAATCAACAACTTCTTGAAAAAACCCACCGCTTTTTCGTGACTTCCAATGAGGAAGGCTAGCACAGCTGATTATAGTCGCATATGGTTGATGACTGCACCATCCCATATCAGAAATTGATGCGAACATACGGGGTCAGGTCGCGTGTGACCTCCGGGCATTCGTCCCTGTTATTCATTGTAGGGTTTTTGGCATTTATCCAAAAAGCCTCTAGGAGTTTTCACCCTGGTGTTTTGGACTCCTGTGCATGGATATTGACTTTTACTTCAAAATCGTCTCCTCTATGCTTTTGTATCCTATGCGTGCCTAGTGGGGTGCTTCGTCTTAGTTTTCGTTTGCCATCTAGGTGTTATTTTATACGGATACACAAAGGTCTGCCCGTTTCGCCAATATATTCATCTCCGCAATTATTACAAAAGATCAGGTATATCGTACCTGAACTCATGCAATCACCATCCCTTCCGTAAGGGCAAATTACGCAATTTTTTGTTTCACACAGATCGTCATACAGGCAGTTGCGAACTAAATGGCGACGTAGAGTAGCCGGTGATATTTCAACTGTCGCTACCGATTCCTCTAGACCTGCCCTTCTTAAGCATCGTTTTATAGCTACGCTTACTTCGTCGCTTATAAAAGGCAACATAAACGGGATTTTCTTCTGGCCAAGTGTTTCGCGTGGGCGCGTCGTTCCCCTTGTAAACTTATCTTGTGGAGTTACTATTTCGTAGCCACTGGAAATGGCTAATTGCCGAGCCAAGTCGCGCGATTCTTCTTTTAGTTCCCTGGTAGTGCACACAGAGGTGACTGTTCGAGACATGTTTCTCACAATCGCCCTCTTTGTGTGTGAAGGGTGGGAAGAAAGGAAATGAACAAGAACATTGTAACCCCACGAGATAAGTTTACAAGAACGACGCGCCCACGCGAAACACTTGGCCTAAAGAAAACCCCGTTTATGTTGCCTTTTATAAGCGACGAAGTAAGCGTAGCTATAAAACGATGCTTAAGAAATGCAGGTCTAGAGGAATCGGTAGCGATAGTTGAAATCCCACCGGCTACTCTACGTCGCCAATTAGTTCGCAACCGCCTGTATGACCGTCTGTGTGAAACAACAAATTGCGTAATTTGCCCTTACGGCAGGGACGGTGATCGCATGAGTTCAGGTACGATATACCTGATCTCTTGTAATAATTGCGGAGATGAATATATTGGCGAAACGGGCAAACCTTTGTGTATCCGTATAAAGGAACACTTAGATGGCAAACGAAAAACTAAGACGAAGCACCCCACTAGGCACGCATAGGATACAAAAGCATAGCGGAGACGATTTTGAAGTAAAAGTCAATATCCTTGCACAGGAGTCCAAAACACCAGGGTGAAAAGTTCTTGAGGATTTTTGGATAAATGCCAAAAACCCTACAATGAATAACAGGGACGAATGCCCGGAGGTCATACGCGACCTGATCCCGTATGTTCGCATCAATTTCTGATATGGGATGGTGCAGTCGTCAACCATATGCGACTATAATCAGCTGTTCTAAGCTTCCTCATTGGAAGTTACGAAAAAGCGGTGGGTTTTTCGCGAAGTTGTTGATCGTGTAATTACCAAAGAGTTTTTCGCCTTTTTGTAAGTGTTATTGAAGCGTTTGGCCTAGTAGATTGTATCTGATATACCCTTCCAGGCTCTGAAGAAGGCGATACTGCCGAAACGTTAGCTAGTGTTGTACAGTATTGTGTTTTTCTATGGAAGTAAATGTATGCTGTTTAAAAACCTCGCGATTGCTGAACAAGAAAACGATACATTTATATTCCAATGCCGAGGTTAATAGAAAGTCGATCCTGGGAACTATATGCATATATATGTAATATACATGGTATATATAATATATATATGCATGTACATTATATATATATATACATACCATATTTGACTGATAAACTAACACCAGGTTGTTAACCAAGGTTTTATTCGGCTACTGTTTCGACGTCATCGTCTTCCTCAGAGTCGATAATCCGAGTCAATGTCCAAAATCCCTTAACAAGTCCGATCTTCTTCAGTGGGGCACTGCTCGAATGACGCAGTTTCACTGGGCGATTTTTTATATAGGACGGTGATTTTAGAGATGATTGAACGGTGACGTTTTTTCCGGACCCTATTCATTCATACCGAGATGAAATGGAAATCGGTTTACAATGATTTATGTACATATATAGTTTGAAGACAGAATTATGAAAAATTCATGAAATTCAGTACTTCTCTTTGGTTTTCATCTCGTTCGCGACGACGTCCAATTTTTAGCCTCGTGTAGTATGAGTCAAATATGTCTCATAACAACCAAGTTACCCAACAACGTTTCTGAGATATTTGCAAAACTCTGGACCGTAGGTGTCTATGGTGGGGAACGAACGCGCTATTATCCTTTCCGGGGAGTAACGCGTTCACCACCACACCATGCGGGTCCTTTGTTTCGCACGTCTCTCAGCTATTTCTATCGATCTTTTTGCC